TTTTTTTTTTTTTTTTTTTTTTTTTTTTTTTTCCTTCAAAAACTTTGTTCTAGCCAGTAACCAAATTCATTATTTTCCTTGACTTGTCAGACTGTATGCTTGATCGGGGTTATTGAGAAGTACAAGGAGTTGGCCAAGTATAACTTGAGGCAGCTCACGTCATCAAAGCCATAGGACTTAGGACCTCGGTAGGCTTGTGTCCAGTGGCTCGCAGCGGTTGATTCATATGCTTTCGATTTTTATATTGCAGTCCTAGTGTTTATGAAATTGGGTGAAGATCTATCTGTAGTTCAACCCACGCAAATTACCAGCCGGGTTTGCGGATCGAAACTCATCATATTTCAAATTTTGACGTTTGGTTTAAGAACCCCTCATGTTTATTTACTGTGATAGTATTGTTGATGTTCTGAATCATTGTCTAAACCCTTTCAGTCTTAACCAGTATGAAAGTATCCATATTGTGAAAAGAGTAATGCTAGGGACACCAGTAGATATTCTGAAAGTATCCATATCCATATTGTTTCAATTGTGAATTGCTTCTCTTTGCAAAATTTACGACGAATCTATCCCGTTCCAGAAATTAGAAAGAGACAAAAAGCTGTTTATGTGGCAGTGGCACGAGTACCTTTCTCCGGCCAAGTAACAAGCATTTATTTTTCAACTGTATAGTGGTTATTGGTTGACATCTCCATTATATCCACGAGCATGAACTCAATGGTATAAATATGATGAGCTACTTACTAATTAGAGCTTAAGGTGTGGGCAAAAGGTGTTGTGACTAATTAGTAGTCTGTTAGCGGTTAGTTAGAGTGTGTTAGAAGGAATCGGTAGTATAAATTAGAGGAATCCAGATCCGCTATCTATTTTCTCTGTCTAACCAAAAGATAACTAAAGATCCGCTTAATTCACTAGTTTCAGATTTTGGGACTTCTTTTTTCTCTCTTCTTCCCCTTCTGTAGTCTTTCCCTCCTTTTTTATTATTCCTGCAACTGGTCTTGTCATTTTTAGATGACCTCTTGACAAGATAGTTGCAAGAAGAGAGGGAAACCGAATAATAATATGGAGAGTGAAAGATTGAAAAGAGAAGATGAGTAAAGTAGGATGAAAAAAAGTATCTAAAAACTGAAACGGTGAATCAAACAGTTTTTTTCCTCGCTCTACTGTGATACGATATTGTCAAAAAATATATATATCCAAACTTTGCTTATCTTATATATATTTAGTTGATATTCATAGTGTTACTAAAGCAACTCTATCTTGTTAGCGGAAGGAGGATCAGAATAATTGAAGATTTTGTGCCTTATTTATGCAAATATTAATAATATGTTTTTCTAACGCAATTTTGGTGAGATACTCCAAGTGTAAAATATTAATAATATGTTTTTCTAACGCAATTTTGGTGAGATACTCCAAGTACGTAAACACATACATGCAAATATTAATACTAGTCATTTCTTTTCGCGTTAGTTGGGGGAGAGCGAGGGGGGAGAGACACACCAGACAGGAAGAAAAATAAAACTCCAATTTAATTGAATTGCACGAATGGTTTCACCAGTACATAAAGTTCCTCTTCTGTAAGGAGAAACATCAACAATAATAATGGAAAAAAAAAAGAATGAAACACATCAGAAAGAGAAGCTTGCTCTCCATCTTTGCTCTCATAAAAAAAAGAACAGAGAGAGAGAGTATAACTAATTCCATTCCAAGTGATTGACTGACTGACACATACACACATCTCCCTTCAATCTGAAACTATGCAGTTGGAGGTTTGTACAATTTCTCAACCATCTTCCTATAATCTGCAAGAGACAGAAAACCCCTTTTTCAGATACTTCTTGTCAAACAATTCTATCAAGAAAAATAAACTAAAAAGGCAATTAAAAAATAAACAAAAAAGAACCATGGTATTACCCTCTTGATTGGACCAAAGTTGAGCTGCTTGTGAGTTCAATGGAGAGCTTATATTTGGTTCTGCATTTCACATAGAAGAAAGAAAAAGTGAATATTTCCCAGTGGTGGCACATTATTCTACTCAAAAAACGGAGGGAGAGAAGCAGAACTTACCTCCAAGCAGACTCTGGATGGATAGCAGTATAGTTCTGACATCGTAGGCCGACGACCATTTATCCTATAAACAAAAAGAAAAAAAAAAAACAATTTTCAGCTTATTCATAATAGATAATAAGAATATAATAGCTTCGGATATCGAGTTTTCAGCTTGTATTGACTTGTGTTAGATTACCTGAAGAATGTCCAAGCAAATGTTTCCATGAAGATCCACATTAGGATGAAAGCAGACATTCTCAAACTTGACCTTGGGAGGCTTAAATGGATAATCGTTTGAGAAAGAAAGAGATAGTCTGTATTCTGTTCCTTCAAAGACTGTGTCTTTGCTTCCAATGATTGTCCCTTTCCAGCAGAATATGTTGTCTCCCTCAGGGAAAGCAGATATCCCAGAATCTCCACCCATCTAGAATTTTGATAAGAAAAAAAACGAGTCAGCTAAGGATATTTTTGCTCATACATTTTTTTTTTTTGAATTTTATATGTATTCTATTAAAAAAAAATTCTGATTTGGGTTTAGTGTTTATCTCAATTCAAACAGATAAAACAGCAAGCAGTTGGGCATTAGTAGCTTACCATTAAGGCCATAAGTTCAGATTGCAGCCTGTTTGTAAAAGCAAACAACAACAAAGTTAGAATCGTCAATATCTATCATAAGAAAAAGATAAAAGATAAATTAATAGATAAGTTCTCATGATCAATCAACAATTTATCAAAATCATTTTCTTAATCACTTTTCTAATTCAACTAATCTAGTGCATTGCCCTTAAAATTAAAAAAAAAAAATCAAAAAAAAAACAACAAAAATTTGAAAAAAAAAAAAAAAAAAGCGACCGATTACAAACAGGAAACCTAGCTTTGTAAAAATCCTCTAAACAAACAGTGGTGCGCAAGAAAGAAACTACAGAATAATCATAAATAAAGCAAGGGATTTGACGAAAACAGTTTGAATCAGAAACTAATGGAGAAGCAAATACCTTTTGAGAACGGACTGAGAATCGACGGTCTTGGCCGGAGGCAAAGGTTGTTTGGCTGGAGCGGCGTTGGGGCCCGCCGTGGTGTTGTTGGTTTCAGCATATCCGTTAACGGCAGCCATTGATTCTATTATCTCCGATTTGAAGAAATCAAGTCAAGGCGAAGATTTTTGAGCGAAACAAAAACGCAGAAAGCCGATTCTTTCTCTAAGAAGAAGAAGAAGAAGAAGAAAGAATGAAAGAGAGAGGGTTTTGGTTCGTTCTTCTCCTTTCCGAGAAAGAATTCTTAGAGAGAGAAAGAGAGAATCTTTAGAGAGAGAAAGTGAGAGAGTGGAGAAGAATGGTGAGGGAGGGGCTTGATTTAAAACGGAAAGAGGGGGTTAAACGACGTGGATTGGGAGGGTTTTGAATATTTTCGAACGTTGCAAATGGCAATGCCGACGGCGTGAGATGTGTTTCCCCAACGGCTAGTAATGACTACCTGCTAACGTGCGCCACATGCGCTCCGTTTCCACGCGCCTTTTCTTTTTCTTTTCTTTTTTAAGGGACTTTTCTCCTTTTTTTTCATTTCTTTTTTTTGTTTGGAAAGGAAAGCATTTCATTGCAAACGAGTGGTCTTATTTACAGAAGAAATTTATTCTGAACTAAAGATTAGATCTACACACCATAACACAAGGACGAAAAAAGGCAGAGAGACCCAAAAAAAATTATTGCACATTTCATTGTTGTCCGTTTTCATTTGTTTTTCTTAATGGAATTTTTTTTTCCTTTTGCCATTTCGGGACTTTTCTCATTTTATTTTGCCGTTTCTTTCTTTTTTTTTTTTGAATGGTCTTTTCACATTTGTTTTGAAATTGTACAGTTTTAAATTTTTTTTAACAAAAAAGTTCTCTGCATTACTAATACCTTTTTTTAGAATATACATTATAAATTTCCTATTTACTCTAGTTATAAACATAAATAAAAATGTAAATTTTTACCTATCTCAGTTCCTGGGCGCCCCACTATGTGGGCCGGGAGCTTTTTAATAGCGTTTTACTTTTTTTTTGTCATTTTTTTAGGCCATTTTTTGCAAGCATGCCCAGAAAAATGTAAGGATTGTATCTGCAAAGATTGTTTGGCTGCGTAATCCCCGAACCGGCAGAGTATTCACCGGGGGTTACTGCAAAACATGTATGAGCCCCTTTTAATAGAAAAATCAAATTCAATAAAGATAGTATACATAATATGACTATCCCGCTAAAATATCTCTTTAGACCTCAGGGAGTTTTTTATTTAGGCCCCCTTCATTTCACTGATTCAAGTTTTTAAGTTTTGTTACAGTAAAAAGCTCTTAGAAACAATCACATCTAACTTTTTTACTATAGTAAAAAGCTCTCAGAAACAATCACATTTAACATTTTTACTACAGTAAAAAGCTCTCACATAAAGTCATATCTCAACTTAAATCAGCGAACTAAACGGGTCTTTAATGTATAAACTTAGTAGTATCTTCCATCAGAATCCTAAATTAACAAAGAAGTATGGACCTAGTGCATACTCCTTTAAAAGTAAGAGCAAGCATCTCTTGTCAATTGGATAGGAGCTACCCTAAATTAAGAAAAAGGAATTAGCCTCAAAACATTTTTCCTTTATGGGAAGAGGAATTGAATCTGACCTCTTTCGCCCTAGGTCAGGGATCCATC